CTAATTATTATCGATTGACTAAATTCCATAGCAGTTCAAATTCTGTGTTTACAGAATTCGAATAATCTTTTATTCATTTAATTTTGATTGCATACTTAGTCACTTAATAATAATAATAGTAATGATGTTACACAATGTTTTAATTGTTTAGTTTTATAAAAGATCTGAACAGAGTTGTTTATGACTTATACATGAATATTTTTAACATTTTACAAGGGGTAAAGTGAATGTGTGAGAGTTTAATAATGTGATACAAATGTATTTGAAATATCTACTTTCAGTGTTACATCATGGTAAATGAAATTACAACAAAGAGTTTTATAATCACTGGCATTATATTACCTTTCAAGCAAAAAATCGAATACATTAGACAGTTCTGGAATAATTTCGTTCTGATGTTATTTAAAGTTATTTTTTCACTAACAATTATTATTATTGTGAGAACTAAATATATAGTGAACTGTTAATAAAAGTGCAACGTCTTATGCAGGGAAAAATTCAGAAGTCAAACTAGGTATTTATCAAAATAATTTTTCCTATGATTTTTATAAAATAAGCTTTCCGTTTTGACTGTTATTCACAAAAGTAGTCTATTCTCTTCTTAAGAAAAGAATAAAAAATCTTCAAATTTGTACCTGTATCCACCGAAAAACTACTACACTACTAAATAATTACATGTTAAAGATGTGCGATGAAAATAGACGAAAACTTAAATCTTTGAAGTGTCAGAAACAATGAACAACAAAGCAAATACAAATAAATTAAAAAAGTGGTCTATAGTTATGTTTACACAATTTTCCGCACTTTTGAAACACAATAAAACAACAAGTATACAATTATACTATTTATTTTTGATGCCTACGATATAACACTAATAACAATATACTGTGTTCTCAGAGTTTCTGGAAAATTAGATAAGTCGTTGTTTGTTTAATCAGTAAATTAAATGATTATTATTGATGATTTTTTTTGAGACATTTCTAAAAATAGCCCCCTATATAAACAATCTTAAAAAATTGGTCGAAGTTTATTTCGACAGAATTTCCTCGCCCCTGAAGTACAGTGCCACAAATCCTCCTTCTTTCAAAAATTACAAAATTTGATTTTACGATTTTGTGATAACCTGTATAAAGTGAAAACCAGCGGAGTAAATAATACCTCCGCAGTCCCTGCGCCCGCAAATTGCAAGTGGGCGCGGTCCGCACAAGTGCGAACAGTATAAAATAAGGTAACTGAACTCAATATGGCCTAGTACCCAATATGGCCTATTGGCTGTTTCTCATATGTTTCAAAGAAAATGTGGAAGATCACGACTATAGGAGCAATCAGCAAAGTAATCCACCGTTTCATTTACTACAATGCAATTATTATTTGTGATGGTGATTTGACGAGCCAGTATCAGTTTTCTCAGGATAGTTTTAATCTCAATTAAGTTATCAATTTCTATTTCTATAATTGTGTGGCAAGCTCACGGAAGAAGCAAGAAAATTGTTTTGACGAGATGTACCAAGAAGATATTGTAAAAGATATGACAATATGCTCCGTATGTAAGAAGTACGTGCACGAGGAAGTGCGTGGGTCTAGCTAAAAATGATAAAGATATTTTTATTTCTCCTTATTGAGACAATTAACAATTTGTTTGTCAATAAACTTTTTTTTGGTGCTCATTTTTGTTTTTTTTTTTCAATTTTTTAAAACAGGCCATTTTGGGTATCTGTGTACTCAATTTGGCCTAAAGACAATTAAACCGGGTACTGTTGGGCTCTACAATTTTGAAAATGTCTGATATTTGAAAATTAAGTACAAAAATGTAATCTCTTTCAACTCCCTCCCACCATTACTCTTCCATTTCAAGTTCTTACAAAAATTAAAAAAATTCTCAAAGCAAATAACCAACGGTAAAAATGTACTCCCATTAACATGCTTAACTTCGAGTGTTTATATTTACACTTCAAAGGAATTCTACTATTGTGCTGTTCCAAAACAAGCATCAGCGGTTTCATGCATTTGTGTTAAAAGAAGATGAAATTTTATTGATTTTGCCTCCTTAAAACAGAGGAGAGGACTAGCTAATTAATTAATCCAAAATGTAATGGAACAAAAGGGTCTGAATATAATTTTGGGTTATTTATTCATGCTCCACCGAAAAGGTGATAACATCATGTTATTAAATACATGTTTACTGAACAGTTCTGGATAAATAATTTTACAGATTTATTTTGAATACAAGTACCAATCCTTAAAGCTCAGCTATTAAAATGTTATATTTTCATCTTATTTTCTGTTTTTCTTTGGGTGGTGAACTTGAAATAAATTCTTAGTAATTTTAAAATATTTTTTATATATAATGGAAAGTGAGTGTGATGAAAAAAGACTAAATTTTAAAATATTGTTCAGGTCAGGGCCTTGATGTCTGCAGTTCTAAAATATTCAGTTGAAATAGTTTTTAACTTTATGTCTACTAAAGTCTCTGTAATAACAAGAATAAGTGATATGCTGCAACGTTGGGTCGTTGAGAGAAGGGCTCGCATTGACGTCTTGGCGTGGGTTTTCATAGATAACAAAAACCCTGTAGGTGTAGAATGGTGTAGATAAATACTCAAATCAAATTACATTCCTATTTCTTATTTGCGTAGTTGTAATTGTTAAAATTTATGATTCTTCAATGCACTATTAATTTTGTGGCGACTTTGAAACCGATCCTCTTTCGTGTTAATTTTCATTTTTGGTTCCAGTTTTTGACGTTGGTAGTTGGTAAAAAAAAATGTCTCTAGTGTACGAAAACTACGTAACATCCGTATTATTTTATGTTAAGACAGGCTCAAATTACTTGCAGCGTTCAATAAAATAAGTAAAAATAGGTAGATAATAAAAATAAGTCTCAAAGTTTTTTTCTGTGCTGCTAGTTTTTGCAAAATGTTTGAAGATAATCATCAAGACAACGCCTTGGACTTTTTGCTATAAAATCGAAAAAAGCTTCGAAAAGTGCTAAAATTTTGCGAGAAAGAATCTGATAAAATGAAGGTGAAGGTAGTAAAGGAGCCCTTGGAGTCAAAATGGCATGCTGCAAGTTGCACTACTGTAAAAAGAAACCTCGCTGTCTGTTAATTTTCAAAACTGTCGAGTCGATCAGGTTCTTTTAGAAACATTTGATTGTAAATATTTAATGACGAAGGTAATAATTTGTTTGGCATTTTACGTAACAATAAAATTTTTCTCTATTGTGGGTCGTATTAGCAGTTGATTTGGTAAAGGTATGTCGTCGAGAAAAACATTCGAACGTAAAAATTGACGATGTAGAGGATACAAAAATAATACTAACGGACCAAATCACTAATTCTGGAGCTGATATTCATAAAACTTTATAATAACTGCCGATGACGAAGCTAATAGCCTTTACAGGAAATGTTAGGCTCTGAGGCTATCAAACGCAGATCTATGTCTGCTTTTTATGAACTATTAAAATACAGAAAATCCCCACCAAATTAGCAACTCGTATACCCAGATCAGTGCACGGATTATATCCGGAGAAATTCAACGACTTTGTTAGTTGACAATGGTTGTAACAGAATAATCTGAAGAGCCATGACGGTTGAAAATTCTCTCCAGAGAGCTACTTGGAAAATTATCTGTAAAATCAAATTAATAAAATGGAAAAATATTTAAAATATTCGTGAAGCAAGTTTCATTGCCTCCAACGTTACAAATTAGGCTATACACCTTAAAGACTATATAAGTTTAAAGCCTTAGAAAAAATTTGGTTGTTTGAATAGTGAATACTCTTTATATAATTCTTGCTTTGCAAGTTATCAAATGAGCGTGAATAGATCTAAAATCCATCTGGAGAAGTCAATAAAATATGTCTTCCTGAACTGGTGATGTGAATAAAAATTGGCGGCCACTGTACTAATCTAATCTGTATAAGAACACATTAGATAGATCATATAAACTGTCCACATTTTACGAACAGTTCCATTAACCATTTTTGATGTTATATGTTATATTATTGGAATTAGGTCCATATAGAGAAACACTTCACAATTGTCACATTTTATATTTATTGTTAGCTTGATGGTCATCACTCATCAATTTATCATACATTTTTTGGATGTTACAGTGGCATATTTTAGTAATCAAAGTATGTTTTCTGACAAAAACATTCAAGTATAATGACGTTGTCGATGACCTATGTTATTGTTATTAAGATTGACTTTACAAATGTGCACATGACGAAAAGGAGAGTCAGACAGGCTGAATGAGAAACAGGAAGTATAAATTAAGCACGTAATTATGTTTGCAACACCGAAAATTTCAACATACTCGAATTGTCGATACGTTTCAACAGCTACGCTGTCATCTTCAGGATGATAACGTAACTTGAAACGCGTCGATAATAATATGTCGAAAGTTTTGGAGGAAATTAGCGTGTTCGAGTTCATGTCAGTGAACCGAGTGATCGTTTAGAAGATTCTAACAGAAGTGCAAATTATATAGAGAAATGATGGAGCGTCCATGCATGTGTCTTGATAAAAAGTAGAAACGTGAGACAGAAAAAAATACTAGAAAACATGTTGCACAAGAGGATGGCAAAGACGAAAAAGTATAAATTGGATGCAGGATGGAAAGATAACAAAAAGGTTTTGAAATAGGAATTGAGAGTTAAGATACTGAAAGAAAGTTGGAACATCTTGAGTTCAACCATAACTGAATATTGTAAGGCAGTTTGTTTAAGTTTATGGAAAAAATAAACCATTATCGTGTACTTATTACAGTAATTAGAACTTCCGTAATCAACAGATCACCAGCAACACGTCAAGTGCATTAGTATCAATGTCCTTGGAAGCAGCAAGAACTGGCTCTTTAAAACGCCACACCAATTAAATCATCACGTGTTGGCTACTTTCCGGTACTTCTTCTTCAGCGTCCTACCACAAGCCACTCTACCGTCCACAACCACATTGCGTTGGGTGAACTAGTTAGAAACTTTGTTGAGAAGAGTGGGCAGTCACCTGAGCACTGGCAGAAGGTTGAGAAGTTGACGGCGCCGTCAGATTTAAACGTGCGTGTGTCGGCCCATATGGACGTCCTTTTATAAACAATGCAATAACTAAATGACCTACAACATGTTGCGTGCATCCATGTTTTGTACAATCAAAGAGCTATTAATGTGATTTATTTATGAACGTTTTTGCGGATGCAAATGGTATCTACGTGTAAACAATGCAAATCGTAGTGATAAATCTTGATTGTGGTATCGCATTATGTGGAAAGTGTGGGAAGGCATGTGTTGGGATTACAGCCTGTTGTGTTGTGTAGTTTAATCCAACTTGTGATGCAGCTCTTTGATGTTGTAATTATTTTTGAAGAACTAATTAATTTCGTACATGGTGGTATGCTGATTAGGGAGTAGGTACCTGCCTTATAGAGTTTACGAACATGTAAGTTAGAAACCTAGGTAATTGGTTTTGTCTTAAGATATTGAATTTTTAATAAACCCTATTTCACGAGGTACAAAGGAAAGGAGTCTTAATTTAATCCTGAATTTTTACTAGCAAATAAAAAAAGATTATTCAAAAACAGTTCCTGGCGCTTATTAGATTGAAAACAAGGTTTCGTAGATTATGTTGGAAAAATTCTCCTTTTTTTTGCACTAAATGCTATATTATATGACGCAAATAGTGTGCTAAGGTCAATGCTACCGAAAGATTGCTTAAGTCTCGTGGCACCTTTTTGTTGTTAAGTAGGTACATATAATAAATGTGCCATTATTTTGATTTGTTAAAGAAAGGGTGTAAGATAAAACAGAGAGCTTAACCGCCACTTCGAAAATAAAGTTACATAATTGGATGTGTAGATGTGATAGTTTGTTAATTTGCGTCGTATTTTTGAAAGTGGAATTGCATTAACTATGTAAATAACACCTAGTGAATATTGACTACTGAGACAGTGCATGTAGCCTAATTCTTTACCTTGATATAAGAACCCATTCGAACACTCCTTATTTGATAGAAATATCTAAGTGGAGAAACTAGCGAAAAGTTGAGCAGATTTCTCATAAATAATGTTTGAAAGTGACAATTTTTTCAATAATTTTAACGTTTAAAAGAACTGTTGGTTTGTAGTGAAATGCTATGTGTGCTAATTTCTTAGAAAATATGTTGATATTCTTTCCGTCTACTATATTTCATACATGTGTGTTATGTACCTATATTTTGAATTCGAACATCGATTTGCGATTTGTTTACATGGAAGAGTTACAAAGTATTGTAATCATTATTATTCATATATTCTATAATTATTATTTCCTGATACTAAGAAATATTATACAAGTATAGAAATTATTCATTGTTGCAGAACTCACAGGTTTCAGTTCGAAACGCATGAAATGTTATAACAATTAGAAATAAATACGAATATGATATATGATATTTACTGATAATTAGTAGGTATAGTACTTAAAATAGACATTTGCTAAGTCAAGGTTATCAACTTTCCGATTTTTTCTATTGCAGAAGTAAATTGTAAAGGAAACGTTAAATCGGGGTACGAAACAAGTGTTTTATTGTAAACATTGATACCCAGTCAGTTACTAAGTGTTTTCAATTTTAAAGTAATTTATATTAATTTTTTTATATTAAAAAATGTAAGTAATAAAATGCTGTTTAAGAAATATATACTAATAATAATACTAATAGAATGTCTTATATCATCTAACAAAGAGAATAAATTTGTTAGTTTGTAGAACAGGAACCACAAAAAATGGATGTTTAATTACACCTTTATTATAAAACATCATACTCTTATTGTTCAAAAAGTATTGGCAGGTAATATACATACATAATTCAGCATAAAATTGAACTACCTTTTTAAGTCTACAATATTGTGTACTGTAAGTTTTTTAGTAATTCGGTGTTATTTTTAACAATAGCTTAACGATAAACAACTTTCGCTTTTTGACCAATTAAGGTATTATATTTTCATAAGATTAATTTAATTTTGACATATTTATTAGTTACTATTTTTCGTGTGAATCTTCTCACTTTTCAGCTTTATATGCACTAGACGGCGACGTAATAGCATCTATGAATTATTAAATAACCATGTGATACTGTATATTCGAATAGTTGTGGTCTGCTAATTAGTGGATAATGTAATTAACATTGTGGGTATAAATTTATTATCAGTGTTAAAGTAGATGATTGTGAGTATAAACTTTCTTCTCGACGCTAGTTTTGACATGTGTATATGAATGATTTTTGGAGCTTAATAATTCAAATCAGAAAGAAATACTTTGGTCAACTGCTGGAATTAAAAAGAGAAAAATTTAAAATATGGATTCAAAAGAAATTATAGTGTCACAAGATGCACTAATTTTAAAGCTTAAAATGTACATTTGGGTGATAAGTGATAACTGAAAAAATAATGACAATATTTGAGGACGACATCTGAATTTAATATTTAAGTGTTTGAAAAACACATATATCTCTTAATGAAACAAGTTCACAAAAGTCCTGGCATAAGACAAAATTTAAACAAATTTAGAAGTAATCTAAAAAGTAAAAAAAAATAGTCCAAGATTATGTCGACGGAACTTCCCTTGCCCATAAAGTACAGCTTGTCAAATCCAGCTCTTTCGAAAAATTGAAAAATTTTATTTTGCGAATTTTATTGCTTTTTATGGCAACCATTATAAGCTAAAATAAAAATATGTATCTAATGTTTGAGTAAACGTAAAGAAACGTGCTAACCGTTTGTTACAAGTGAGTTTTTCTATTATAAAATTTTGTGTTGATGTCATCCACATTTTTACAAGGACCCATGTATAGTTTGGATTGATGGATTGTAATACTACTAATAAAAGTATTGTATTATTGTTATTCTTGAATAGTGATTTATGATCAATAAAATAACGAAACAATTTAATCACGTCTGCCGTATGTAATAACAGAGGTGCGACTGAAGACTGAACTGAAAATCATTTATGGTACTCGTAATTTGAGACAAATAGCGTAACATTTATCAACCCGGGGGGATGAGCAAATACATTTTGATCAAAAAATTTACCATGCTTGCAATAACTTCAAAACGTCTGCAAGATTTCAAAGTATTCAGTTTTGCAATTCTTTATTTAAACAATAAAATAAATCACAAGTATACACTCATCATACTTTCTACATTTAAGATAGGATTTCTTCAGCAAAATTTTGAGGTGACGTCATGAGCAATACATTTTGATCAAAAATTGACCATGATTATGATAACTTTAAAACATCTCCAAGATTTCAAAGCATTCGATTTTGTAGTTCCTGATTAAATCGATAAAATAAATTCACGCATTCATAAATTTTTTTGAGTCACCCTGTATAAGCAAATCCAAAAAATATGAATGGAATGATAAACCACAAGTACAGATTCATCATATTTTCTACATTTTAGATAGGATTTATGCGGCAAAATTTGTAGCTGACGTCATCAATTTTTCGGAGGGGATAAGTAAATATATTTTGATTAAAAAAATTATCATGCCTATCATTCAAAGAATTCGCTTTTGCAGATTCAAAATTAAATTGCAAAATGCTGTTTTATAATTTTGATTTTTTTTCGGGTAGAGTCAACATGGAGTCATAAACTACATGCGTGAGACTATGTTATTTTATACAATTTAAAACCCATTTACTATGCACAATTTTGAAGTGACGTCATCACATTAATGGTGGGGATGATTAAGAGAAATTTTAGTTGCGTTTTACCATCTACCTGATATTCCTAATATAAATACAAAATTTGATAACAATCGGCCCAGTACTTTCGGAGATTATCTGTCTAATAAAAATCTGTGACGGCAGACAGGCAGATAGACGGACAGACGGACAGACAGACAGACGGAAACGGGACACTTATTTCTTTGTACTGAAGGGGTCATAAAAGGTCTAGAAAACGTAAACGTATAGAGTCGACCGACGGACTCGATTACAAAAAAAGTGAAATATTGTTCAACAATTTCGATTTTTTGCAAAAATCTGCATGCTAATGCAAAAATCTGCATAATTATAATGTACAATAAAAGTGGATTCATGAACCACAGTTGTACAATCTTCTTCGTATAGGTATGTCATTTCATAAAATTTCAGTACTTCGTGAATTTTGAGATGACATCATCAAATTGTTGATGACGATGATGATGATACAAATTTTGGTTAACATTTTATTATCTAATATACGATACATATTCCTAAAACACATTTAACATTTCACAATAAAAATTCAAGGAGTGTTTAAGATTATCTGTTTAATAAATTCACCCACAGATGACCGACAGACGGAAATGGTAGACCTAGTTTTTTACTCTAAAATTATTTAATTAATTAACAGATTAATTTTGGGCCTTTACTTCTCTTGTTCCTTTCTTATAAATTTATAATACACAAGACGAAGGTTTGAGAAATGTAAACCATACTAAAAAAATCCGTGACGGTAGACAGACGGATAGATGGACAGACGGACAAACGGACAGACGGACAGACGGACAGACAGACAGGCGGAAACGGGATACCTATTTCTTCGTCTTCTAGGGGTCATGAAAGATCGAGAAAACGTAAAAGTAGAGAGTCGGCCGACGGACTCGATTACAATACTTCCTTTGCTTATGCTCGGGAACTAAAAGATGTGTGAAATTGTTTTACATATAACTCATACTCATTTATTTTTTTTTGAGAAATTCATTTTCCAAAGAATATTAAATAACTTAACAGAATACACGAATAAATATTCTACTTTGGACAACTATATATCGCACTGTGAGAGCAATACTCACGTAACTCAAAACCAGCGTGTTTTGAGTAATGGTGATTTAAAATTCCCAAGTTCGTATATATTATTTGTATCTTAAATACCAAAGGTTTCGAAATACATTATAGTCGTATTGTCAATCTATTATTAATCGTGTTTTTATTCCTTTAGAGTAGAACCTTCTACTCGTTATAGAAAATGAGAAGTTTTGACTTACGTGACTATTGCACTGCTACACCAAATCAAATATTTTGGCTTGCGTGTTAATAAATTTAAGACAAGAGCAAACTAGCAACACATTGTAATGAAAAAAATATAACAAAACACAAAACGATCACAGTATTAATTCATTCAACATCTATACTGACCGGAAAAAAACCGGCCACCCTGAAAAATTTCGCAAAACCACTTTAAAACTCAATTTAACTAGTGATCGTTATTTTATTAAAGAACCATTCACTATTGACACATGATGTACAAATTAACACAAAAAAGGAGTCAGTTAAACGCAGAATTAAATTTAATTTAACGAAATAACAGAAACAGACCAAGTACTATATTTTCTTAAAAAAAAAAAAAAAACAATAAAGGAGGCTGTTGTTGTAAATAGTGTTTTTTTTAGTTTAGTTTGATTATAAGTTTGGCAATT